CTGAGAAAATAACACAATTCATGAGAGTTATTTGTCTCATTTCGGAGTCAAGTTTGATCCATCCCGTCCCTGCTGGATATGTCACCATTTAAAAAAAGTTATTCTCTACTTTACTTTCGGGTGAGCATTAAACCGCATCACGTGTGATTTTATTTCATGTGCTTTTTTTAAACATTCTTCTACGTTTTCACTTGGAAATGGGTTGTTTCCCATTTGAAAGTAAACCAGAGATCAATCTTGGTTGCTTTTCACCAGTAAAGGTGCAGCTGTGCTTCACTGAGGCCAAGCCAAACAGTTCTGGAGCTACCTAACCCAGTTGTTGCAACATCACTGGATCCACAAGGAGTTTTATTTTGCGTTAAAGCAGAAATGAAAATCAAAGATGATATTTCTTTTATTTTGAGCTATATAATTTAACACTTATTCCGCTGCAAACTGTGCTGTCAAATCAAACAAACTGGTGACAAGAAGGAAAGCAGCATGGTCATGGGTTCCACTGGCAGAGGTGCTGAGAGAGGAAATCATTTAAGTGTTTTTTAGTCCGTTTCTGATTTAGTCATTTGAATTCTCAGTTAATTTCCAACAAAACTGGTAATATTTAAATGTGTATTACTCTCCGAGTTCAAAACTATATACAGTATATTGTTTTATTTCTCCAGTTTGATTTATTTAGAAAATTAATAAGTAAATAAAACTTTTGAAAACAAATGACAAAAATAGACAGGTCATTATTCTTAAAGATTCTAAACTCAACTGGACATATATGAAAAATAAAATAAGCAAGTCTGTTCCTTTCAAAGATGGCAAACCAATCTATAGATCTATTAATTAGTTCAAAAACAACGTTTTGCATTTAAAATCTTAAGAGCTTTTGTTTTTCAACATCTACAAACTGTAATATAGTAAAACATACAATGGAATTGGAAGAGGCATAGCTGCAAAAAGAACTAGGATTTCAGATAAATGTGTGGAACTTTTGATCCCCAAATGGCAGCAGAGGTGAAATAATTATGTTATCGTGTGTTCTTGGGATTGTAGAAAATGATCGTCTTTTAGCAAAGTCTGACAAACGGTTTGTAAACTGAGCATGTAACTGTATCACCAATAAAATCCAGTGTTTCCAGACTCAATCAGTCAACGTACAGGAAGTGTTTGAGCACTTTAACTTCGTGTCTGCACGCTCCAAGAACCACAGCCGGTACACAAAGATGGATGGCAGAGAACATCACCTCTTAGGGGAGGAGGCATTTTTTAAGGTTTTACTAAAAGTTCATGATCCTGATCTTCAAAAAAATGTATCATTCAGAGAACTTCAGACCAGCACGTTGCATCCAGTACACACGGCTGATAAACGAACTGTGGTATTTAGAACGCTTTACAAAATATGTTTAATTAATTTTCATGCAAGGACTTTCAAATGAGTGTAACTTTTTTTTTTTATCTCACATAAATGTTGAAAGCAGAGCTTGTTTGAACAACAAATTAAAAACTTTAATTACTTTAATCTTTTAGAAAAAAAAGGAAAACGCTGGAAATGCGTTGGCCCACTATTTTTCCATACTCTTCTGCACAGTTCATATTTTTCAGACTGTAGCAATCCTGCCTATATTAATTCCCTGAAGACAAACTCAGTTTACAAGGAAACAGCAGAAACATGTTCTATTGTTACAGGAGTCTCAACTTCATAAATGAAAAGTAAAAAAAAAAAAAACAGGTCAAAGATAAGAACTAACACTCAGGTTGTTATCAGGTTTTGAAGTCCTGTGATGGGAGATGCTCGTCGGTGCGTTTGTGTTTGGACGAGGGTCCACTCAAGCAGCCATCTTCTTCAGGAAGTCAGATGATTTCAGCTGAACTTGCACGGTTTTGCAGTGTGTGCTCTTAGGACAGATCTGTTTCTGTTTAAGAACAGATGACATCATGACAGCAGTGACAACGAACAGCTGAGCTGAAATGTTATATTGTGCACAAATAGATTGTACAAAATGGCAGGAATTAAATTTTTCTTGTTTTGTTTTGAAACAATCAAGTGTGCTCAAAGGGATGAGCACAAAGATGTCCACTGCTGGGATAAGCTTTGACATTAAGTTTTCTAAATAAAGAGAATCACTGAAAGTTGTTTTCTTTGTAGGTTCAAACCAAATATGGATGTAAGACTTTGTTGCTTTAAAAAAAAAATTTTAGAACACATTTACTGTACGCTGGGCAAGTTACTGTAAATGCTTAAAATGCATTCATTTGAAGCTGTTTTTTAAAGGGGATTTTAAAGTTTCTTCTCAATTTTTTTGCAGAAAAAATATGTTTAAAACTTCTTACCAAGGAAATAATAAAAAAAAAACCTACATAATCATATATATATATATATATATATAGTGTGTGTGTGTGTGTGTGTGTGTGTGTATTAGATTATAAAATGCAGAAATAAGTTTGCACAAACCCAAGCTTTTCTCATTAAAATACATTTTGTCCACCTGACGAGTTGTTTATTGTCAGTTTAGTTTTTGTCCACTCATCAATGCAGCTGAGGGAGAGGGACGTGTGAAATTTAATAAAATAAAATATTCTTCAAGAGTCATCTACCGGTAATAACTTAGTCAGATCTGTCCATATTGATTTTTGAACAGACACTAAAGCATAATTCAAACTCCACCATTTAGGCTGAAAGGGAATATTCTTGAACCGGTTTTAAACATTTGTTAATATATTCGTTTCATCTAAGACCAAAAGCAAGACGATCGTCATCAACACTAAAACACCAGAAAGACGGTACTCTGGTGAAAATAAAAATCTCACAAACTTCCCAAGTAGTTTATGACCTGAGCACAACTTTGTGTTTTTATTAATAATATGCACGTGATAAAACCTGTGTGCTTCACAGAGAATGACTTCACACAGTTAGGAATGAGTTTGATCCACTTCATTTATTAAGATGCTACATAGACTCGCCAGGTTGGGTTCTTTTGTTTTTACACCAGACTACCTAACCAGGATTATTAATCATCACCTCAGATAGACTTAACTATTTATATGCATACAAAACTGCCGACATTGATCACGGTGATGGCCTGATATCCTGACAGGAGAACGTTTTTAGAAGCAGGGCTGGATCGACTAGTGCTCACACATCATTACTTGTTTTATCAATCTGTCTTGCAGCACCAAAGTGGTTGAATTTACTACATCGGAGGCAAAGATCCACAGTTGGCCATGTGAATACATAATATCCAAGGGTTTAAACGTGTGATCTTTGTGTACCAGGTTATATTGAACAAGAACTTTCTGCAAAAGCTGTATGACCCAGGTGTGATATCACCCCCCACACACACCCCCACACACAATCCAACTTCACATTGATGCAGTAGAAACACACACTCGGGTTTATTTTTACTTTATTTCCCACCAGTCAGATCCATATCACCTCCCCCCTCCCTTAAACAGGAAAAGATAGAACATTTCAGGTATTTCTCAGCAAATGTGAATAGCTGAACAACGTTTGTCTCGACTCTTGTTTGCATACAGCAGGATAAAATTAACAGACTGCTTGTTTTTTCAACAAATGCAAAGCAGAAAAACACTCTTCATTCCCCTCAATATGCAACATTTGGAGGTGAAATGATTCGACAAAATGTTTATTGTTTATTTTTGGATGTTCTGTCGTCATCGTGTGGTCCACATTTGCTTCAGAGAGAGAAAAACAAAAACAAACAAAAAAAAAAAATGCTGCTTCCGGAAGATCTCAGACACTTTCAAGCTCAAGTGTAATAAAATGTTTACTATCAAAATGCAGAGACAATTTGCGACAACAAAAAAATCTGAACAAACACCAAAACTGAACACGGACGTGGTGAAAAAGCAAAGCAGTGGAGAGCAGGCGAACGCAGTCTGGAACATTCAGAGGATTTCTCACATACATTTGTCACAAATTGTTGACCAAATGTATGGTTCGTCATGAAAGCTGGAAAAAGACCTACCCTAACCAATTAGGACACTGCAATATGATCTTGATGATATGAGGGAAACGGAGCCACTGGGTCTCCATGCACCATCTTTCCACTGCGTACAGTAATGTACTCCAAATGCATCTCCTTCTCTGCCTAACAACTTGCCCCAACAGGTCAAAAATCTTTCATCTGAATTGATATTAAATTGTCGAACCCTCACCTCTATTCTGCTTTGATTCTTATAAAAATAATGATAATATTAATAATAATAATAATATAACCACAACAAAACACAAAATAGAAAGAACATATTGCAATGTAATAGTGCAAACCTACAGTCAAATGACATTTTCACCATTATAAAAAGAAATTAAATTAGATTCAAAAGTCCTGTTGCAACACTTGTGAACGCATGCAAGCATCCCCCTCCGACAAGCAGGGATGTGGTGAGCACTGAGTGACAGGTGACGGGAGTATGGTTGGGAAAAAAAAAAATGGACACAAGGAAAGAAAACACAGTGGTAGTGTTTCATACATCGATCAAGGTTCTACAATCAAAGCCAAGATGTGAAAAGGCCTTTGATCGGAGAACACAGTGGGACAGCCATATGTGTAAAAACACGACTGTTTGGATCATCTCTGTGGTAAATCCCACCCTTAAAGAGGGTTTCGCTGAAAGCAGCATCAGATTTTATACAGTGGGACCATTACATGTTTGTGTACATTGGCTCCGGCGTGCGTCATTTAGAAAAAGAAACAACTATACATTAAAATGACATGCGCACAGTTGCAAACCGACTCGGTCGCACCGCCTCGTCTGCGTGAGAAAATTCATTAATCGGAATCGCTAGAGTTAAATCAAGTTTCCAATGCCCCAAAATCATCTTCCAAAAAACAAATCTGTGTACAGAAAGCTTTTTTTTTTTTGGGGGGGGGGGGGGGGGGGGGGGGGG